AATAGCAGAAGCTGCGCCATTTCACATTTCTGCGCAACCCCGCGCCAAGTGCCTACGCCAGCGCGTACAGAGCACAAAGGATAGCCAGAAAAGAGTGCGCGGAGCAGGCAAGCACACCAAAACAAGAAACAGAGGACACGCAATTCGAGCCAAGAGGCTAAGAGGCAACACTCCATTGCACTAAGCTGCCTGACCTGTCTAGGTTGTTCTGTCTTTGGCAACGTAGGCGCAGCTTGTAATGCACACCAGATTTGCACCCGAGCGTGCCCTTAAGAAGATTCAGTCAAAGCAGGCCATACTGCCCATTTCCTGAGCAAGTGTAGCATACCGCCCGAGCCCAGAGAATCACCTGCGTGCATTACTGCAAGTTGCTGGCGTGGTGAGAAACTAAGCAAAACCAGCTTATGTCAAATGCGGTGCGTGAAGAAAGAGCTCCGTTGCCTCCTTCAAACCAGATTTTGTTGCACCTTGCAATATTATCGAGCGCTGCGTGCAATGCTAGGATTACCATACAGCTAAGTCGCATGTTGTCGCGCATGCGCCGCTTTATTGCCTCGAAAGGTGTATGCTGGCATGAAGCCCACCTAGTCCAACGGCCGCCGCATGACCATTTTAAGTCCTAGGATGCTGCGTATGTGAGAATGCTCCATCATCGTAACCCACTCCCTGAAACGGCACGCAAAGCCAATTCAACCAGGCTCGTCACATCTCGGCAGGCGTATTTCCACCTAACTAAACGGCTTCTCGTTGTTGTTGTGTACGAGAGCCACACTGTCAGCAGCGGTCGGCGCGCTCAGAAGAACTGGCACTTACAGCTCGCACGAGCTCCCACCCCCCATGCAGTCGACGGAGATGGCTCCGGGGACCCGACCGTCTGTGAAGAGCTTTCTGTCCAGCTGCAGTCGATCAGACGTAGAGTAGGCACCGCAAAAAAAGGATGCACATAATGTAAACCTCAAGGCTTTGTTGCCCGTACGGGCTTCCTAAACACGCATCTGCCTCGCTGCAGCCCAAACTGCCTCCGACACCTGTCTGTTTGCTGCAGACTAGCAAAATCTTCTGCTATTTCAGCCACGCATTAGACATAGTATAGCCCCGCAGCCCCAGCATGCCCGCACCCGACAAAACGCAACGCGACAGCCTCCACAGCGACGCAGAACGCAAACACCCAACTCCATCTTTCCTTGCGCATTCACGCACTTCCTGTAAGACATTCTACAATACGGCCTGTGCAGCCCAGCATGCCACTAGCGAGTCCTATGCAACTCCTTCCCTTAATACCAATGCATGGCAATGGCACCAAGCACACACAGATAATCTGCCATGCACAGGATGGCATGGTGCTTAACCCACACAACGGTTGGATCCGCCCCTATCGACCTTAGTGCAAAATTATGCCTGGGATAACCGACGTAGAACCACAGGTGCTCCACTGAAGCAACCGTCGACGTGGTTGCTGTCGAAAAGTCATTAAGGTCCTAATCCCGTCACCTAACCACCTCCTTACGACACCTAGAGGCAGCACTAGTTTCTGGGTGCCTGCCACCGGATGAAGAGTCTTCACTTCAGAGCTGCGGAGTCTTGAAGTATTCCTGACGAAGGCTGGACCTTGAAGGGGTCGGCGAGGGTGAAGGAACACGTCGAGACTACAAAGAAGAGGAATGCCAAGCGGCTGGCTGTTGCTGCAGTTCCTCATACAGGGGGACCCTGCACCACAGCATCGGGGCCTCTTTGCCCTTCAGGAGAGGCCCACGTGCGCGTCTGAAGCACTCACCTCAAGGGCCTTTGGGCTAGTTGCCTAGTCCCGCGTGAGCATCAGCTGCAAAAGCAGCAGCAACAGTTGCTGCTGCTGCTGCAGCTGTTGCTGCTGCTGCAGCTATTGCTGCTGCTGTTGCTCTTGCGGTTGCTGCTGCTTCTGCTGCAGTGCAAATTACTTCCTGCGCAGCCAAGGTGTGAATCCTTCATCCTCGGGTGCAGGTGATTCTGTCTGTTGCTGCTGCTGTTGTTGCTGTTGCTGCGCCTCGATCAAATGCAGGCCTGCCTAAGACCAATAAAACGCCGACAAGCAAACCGGCTGGGGTTGCTCGCAGATTCCCGCAAGCAGAATCCGCAAAACCCCATTGTGAACCCGGTCTTAGACACTCCCAATACATTCACAGACGTGTACGGTCCGCCGCATATGATGTTGACCCGTCGGTCAACACACCCAAGCAGCACGCAGCAGCAATGCCCAACTGGATCTTAAGCCGAGCACACAGCCCCTTCCACATCTGCATGCGACTCGCCACTGCTAGCAGCCAGTGCAGTTCAACCGTCCGACTGCGGCAACGTGCCATACAAGACGCTTACAAGCCCTAGCGGCGCAGGTGAGCGTGCCGACCAAGGAGTGGCCCGCTGCATAAGTTCCCCTTGCCAGAGGTGTCTGCTGGAACGCCTTTCCCTGACACGCTGTCGCCCCACCACTGCATTCATAAAGGGCATGCGGGCAACGTCCCGCTTCCCACTCAGCATGGGTTCACTCTTGAAAAACGTACCTCACTTTGCACAGCCACAGAAAATGGCAAGCAAACCCATGGAAACGCCCCAGCTACGTTCACATGAGGTCTCGGCACAACGCACGTCCTGTGCGATCGTTGTAACGATGCTGTGAACGCGGCCCCACTTCCCTTTACACTCGACGCACACAGCACGACTTCCCACTCACCTTTCCGTGCACCACGCTACCAACGCAACGATAAAATACAAATCGTTAGTTCCCCTGCCACAGGAAACTGAACAACAAA